ACACCCAACTGCATATTTTTTTTTTATCTCAACGATACTATAAAGCTCTGTTTCAAATCATTTTTAGAATAATATGATAACTTTTTCCAAAAATTTTAAGTATACCTGTCATGAAGTTGCATTAAAATTATTGTAATGAAAAGAGTGTCCAAGAATCACCAGACAGCTTAGAAAAAAAAATTATGTTTAAATTGAACAGTATAGATACCTATACATAATATTTATTTTATTGAATAAGTATGTACTTCCAAAATGAAGAACATTATCGACTTATCAACCTAGTAGTCTATTTACATGCCGATTTTAAACGTATAATATAAAATAGTTTTTCCAATTTATCAAACATTAGACTTATCACGTTTGTTTGAACGCATAGAATTTGAGTATTGCCGTCCAGTGAAAGATAAATTAATTGTATTGTCCCTGTCTGTAGTAGAAAGTAAAAAGTTTCGTGAATTCCTTTGAACTCATGAATTTTATGTAATCCAAAAGTAAGTGTGGTTTATACAACTATTAATCTTTCTTTTGAACTACCTATCCCATCGACAATTCGAACAAAGTCCGATGCTATTTCATTTAATTTCTTACTTCTCTTTTATTTGTGTGATAAATGTCTTACCAGATACCAATATATACTCTTAAATAAATTTTTCAATTTTTGTTATATAATTATGACAAATAATACTATTTAATTATACAAAAAATATTCCTACATTGTTTTACATATTATAATTCTGAGCTTGTTGATATTGATGAAATATAATAAAATAAAAATTTAATTATAGTCATATGGATTCAACCATAATAAATTGATCTTGAAATATTATAATCACATTATTGTAATTACGTATTAGTTTGTAATAACTTTGGAGATTAAAGAAATGCTTAGTTTTTCATGTGGTTTTATATGAAATTTATTTTACTAAAATATATTGCAGATGTATTCCGATTTGGTATTGCATTTAACTGTTTCTTTAAGCTCTAAAGCGTCGATCAAAGTTGGGTTAGTTCTGCTAAGAACGTTTGTAATAATGTTGAGTGTTTTAAATAGGAAAGTCTGTTAGGATCAATCGGATCCCGGATCCGGGTAAATGCCCCTAATTGATTTGAGAAGAGTTTGGTTTTTAAAATTTAACTTTGTAGTGGTAATATTTTAATTAGATCCTTACGGTTTTTTGAATAAAATGTCCATAAGTGAATTCAACCGATGGCTCAAAATATTCATAATCGAAATATATTTTTACCTAATAATAAATACATTTTATATACTTTGCATTTATAAAGAATATCGATAAATTAAATATTGTCTAACAATCTGACCGCAATAAGTTGTAGCGTGTTATACAAATGTCACTACACAAAATAATTCTTGGAGATATCTTAAATCTAATACTTACATATTATTATATTTTGTGCAGTTTGTACTTATGGTTATTGGATTAGACATAAGAAAAACAAAAATGCGTTTAGGGGTATATCAGTATTTATAGTGGTCGTCACTTATTTCGCCGATCCTTAATACTTTTACTTTACTCAGCAAATATAAAATATCCTATCTTAAATTACCAAACTGGATGGAGAATTGTGTGTTTATTTTTGTATATTAAATTAATCGTTACTTGTTTTAATTAATAACCATAAAATACAATTTAAAAAAGTTGAAGTTTTATTGTTCTAGTGTTATGATTAGTATCTGGTTGGAGTAAACCGAAGTCATGAAAAGTGAAATATTTTACCACTTTCCATAGGATGACATTTTAGATTGTATATATTATGTTATGGGTAAACATTCGAAATAACTTTCAATTGTTACCAAAAACTTCGATTATACACTGGAATGACGTTTTTAAAATAACTGATCAAGATGTTGACATTGACGTACTTTTCCTTAAAAACCTGAACTTTAAAAAACACTTATTCGATTAACATATTTTATAAATGTTCGTGGATCAAACGAATCTGTTACAGTGAATTTCTTAAAATCTAACTTCTATACCTAACTAATTAAATTTATCAAAACGTAACGATAATTTATCCAAGGAAAAGATAATTATTGATATTAAATAACATTTTACGGAGATCGGAGAAATATCGATTTATGTATCGTCTATGTATGAACGATCCACATTTAATTTACGTATTGGCAAAATGTGCACACATTTATTTAATTGATCTAATGTGTCTATATTTTATAATTTAAGCTTCATAATTAACATACTTAAGTAAAAAACCTAAACTTTCTTCTCCAATTACGATTGTTTCATATTGAATATGTTAATACTGTTAATTATTATGATTTACATAATATTATTATCTTAGCACATTTGAAATTTCATAATTTTTGTTTCACGAATCATGAACATTTACAAGAATCCACTGACGTCAGTTATCAGTAATAAATTTTAAGTTTTTAACTACTAAGGAAAAACTTTTGTTGAATTTTCAGTACACCTACGCTTAAGTAAGTTGTAAATTTTTACGTCGCTACTAAATTAATAACTCGTGTCTTGTCGCTTACGAAACAATTACGAGAGCTTATTAGCGTTCGGAGTTATTTAATACTTAAACTTCTTCATTAATAAATAATGAAATATAGCTATAAAACCGTATTGTAGCCTCTCGAAGTTTGTTTCTGGTTTATTATTATTCAACATTAGTTTTTAGTTTTGATTTTGTGAATCAAGATAATTGCTATACTTAATTTGGTCTGGGACAACTCGTAGATAATAATAACGTAAAAATAATAAATTTTAATTTGATGTATATACTTATTCATATTATATTGTTATTTGTAACCATCTCTCGCGTTACTGCACTCATGTGATCCATTCCCATTAGAAATTTAAGGCTTTCAAACTTTCTAGACGAGTTGTAATTCTGTATGATAATACTTGAATACTTGAATACTATGTAATGGTTATAATAACCCACATTCTGTGCTATATGTTTATTAATGTACCGTACAGTGTTACCATTTGTCTTTTGTCTTTGTTCCGTTTTTTATACTTGAATACGTATATTATAGCGACGGAGTTAATTGTCTGAAAAGAATAATTACAAGAAATTATATAATACATTATATAGCATTAATCACGCGGTGTTTTATTATTAATTAAGCAGTCATTCACGTGTGCAAAACCTGTGGGTTTCAAGTTTCAAACATTCATAAGGACTTTCAAACTTTATTACGATTGAAGTGCTATTACTGCTAAAATCTACATAACATTTAAAAAATCTCCTACACATGTAATACAACGTAACGGCCTTATTTAACTTATTCAACTCATTATGTCAAAGTACGAGGTTTGCACTAAATTATATTTATTTATTCCCGTGATTAATCCTTTTAACTTCAGAATATGGATAGGCGTACTCGTAACATTATTTAATCCAAAGTATTCACGGTGTTTAAATGTTATTTAACTCTTATTTTTTATAAAATACATCACGTATCAAAGTTAAAACCACCACATTTATTTTTAAAGGTTTTAAAAATTATATAACCACGTATACCAATAACTATCGCATTATTTTCGTTTGCAAAACATTGAATGTGATTTTATTTTAATTTGCCTTCATCATTTTTAAAAGTTATAAATATTTATTATTTCTGAACAATATTTACTTGATATTATGTTGATTATTATTGCGTAAGTACTCTTAATATACATTATTATTAGGTATTATTATTATTTTATTTTTAAGACATTATATAATTTTAGTTTGCGATTATTGCCGCATATAAAAATTATGTAGAACACATAAATACGTATTATATAAATTATATTGTCATTATATTATTGTATCATACCATTCTTAAAGGTTTTAAAAAAAAAAATTAAAACCAGGCTGTTTTTACCCTGTCAGGTTTTTCGATGAAATTGAGAAACGTACTCTATGGTCCTAGAAGAGCGGATTAGGTTGGAAGTGTCGTAATATAGAGTTATCACTTATCATAATATTATTAAATCTATTTTACCTTTTCTTATTTCAAGCGTTTTTTTTTCAAATCCCTTTTTCAGACTGGCTTACACAATAAAGGGTAAATATTTATACCAATTCGCTTAATGTTGACATTTTGTGTTAAATAATCATAAGTTCTGCTAGGTATGTATGTAAATAAAAACTATAAAATATTTTAAAATAATTAGGGAAGTACTGCGTCGTTTTGTAAAAATAATTGATTATTGGGCAATACTTGTATACAAACATTACAAACCTTGTCTACTCCGTGAATCATCCATTTAAACTATTTAAAAATAATATACTATTATACTGTTTAAATATAAATATAAACATTATATCTCAGTACAGTGGTTTTCATCCTTTTATGAATTGCGACTTGTTATGTTCTTGTAATACGACCCTTTCAAAGAATCATTTATAAAAATTGAATTTAATTACTAATTAGCATACAAGCATACAATTTCGATTAATTTAAAATTAAAAATGCTATTCATTAAACAATAACAACTAGGTAAGACCCGGTCGTTATAAATATTTGACTGAAATCGTTCAAATATAATATTATGTACACGATACGAGTGTAAATAAAACCAGATCAATAAATATGAGATTAGGTACCTACCTTATTCGGTGTGTTATCCGGTTATCGTACCAAACAAATAATTTAATTTATTTTGTTTTTAAAACGGTATATAGTTTTATACGAAAAATCATTTCGTTCGTTATTATTGACGACGAGTCAAACTATCCTTCGCGACCACCTGTAGGTCGAAAACCAATGCCTTTAGTACAATACTATATATTATTATCAGCTATCGTACCTAGATCGTATATTGATTTTCTGTGAAATATTATAATGTCATAATAAATAACAATCAAACAGTAAAAAACGTTCAGTCCACCCGATTTGAAGTATTTACGTCGAGAGCGTTTCAATAGCGCGTGAACCTCCCCGCGGAGGGTCGATGCCTCTCGGAAACCGGACGCAACGTCTTATTATCGAGAAACAATGAATAAAACACAATACTATGCTCTTACCTGCGCATGTAGTGGTACTTGATGACCACGACGATGACCACGGAATTCGCTATGGCCGCGACCAAGAACAACGGGACGTAGAGGCCGATCAGCATGATGCTTCTGGTCTCGGTGAACTTCATTTGCGACGACGAGAACTCGGCTATCAGCTCCTCGATGACCGCCGCCTGTTCCAACCCGGCCGCGTTTTTCGTCCATAAGCTGCTGCCGTTGCGCGTGTCGTTGAACATATTATTATTTTCGTGTGCCGACAGCTGTACGTTAACGTGTCTCGTTAAATTGTTCGTCCTGCGAAATGGTCGAGTGTCGCGATTAGAGTAGAAATACGTAAAATGTATATACGACGATTGACGAGCGTATTATTATAATAATATTGTTATGGTATTGTACTATAATAATATTATGTATTATGTCACGTAGACAAATAAAGTGTTCCTTCGACGTATTTAAATAATAATAGTAATTTGTCGTACGCAATATATTTATTTTTGTCTCTATATTCTAAAACTATTTCGTGAGTACGGCCAATTTAAAGTCGAAAAATACATTATACATTTTACATTTTTATATTTTTCATGCAGTTAGCTACTCAGATTAAAATTGATTCTTATCGAAGGGTATTGTTATGAGACATTTCTTACTATTGGACATTGTATTTAATATGGTTTTGTCGTTTTGATGAACGTACATAATAAAATATTACTATCTAATAATTAAGATGTTTGATGTTTATACAACTATTACATTCTACACTCCAATATGGAAAATCACTCAAACGCCCTCATCTCTCAACTTCATACCAATGCTCTTCTGGACAACCCAGCCAGACGCCTCAAACGTGAATGGCCCAGAGATCTTGACAACGCACATCAAACTTAACGTGTTTATTACTATCTCTCCCTAAATTACCATCCACGTAGGAATTAAAAAAAAAAACTATTACATTTAATGGTTTACAACAGGATGATTATATTTTTATTAGTTATCACTCATCAAGAACGAAATATATGGGCGTTTTTGTACATTTTTTTTCAAAGTTAAAAAAAAATTAATATTTTTCTATATTTTTGTTAACGTTATCGTATTTTAAGTTTTTACTTTAAACTTTAAAGGCAGCATTCGTTTTAAATGTCACACCCAGAAACATAATATATTTTTTTGCGAATAATTTGAATATAAAATAAATAAATTTGTTCTAATTAGTACCTAGTTAATTATAGCTAGATAGTAGAAGTGGAATAATATAGTGGTTGTTCTCTCATTCAAATTGTTATTTTGCAAAAAATGAGTTCTTATCTTTATATGGACACAATAGCTAATTTATTATATTTGATGATAATAATAATATAATGTTATATAAATTGATTATTTTTGATAAACCACGTGATGTGTTTGTGTAATTGGGTAATAATATTATGAAGCTGAATGAAATCTGAATCTTGACGAGTCCCATCAAGAAGAGATACGTACCTACTAAAATTCGGCCTCTAAACCTCAGCAATCTCGCAGAATAAGTACACAACGAGGTAAGAGTTGAAGTTAAATACATGAAGTCCGGAAAGCCAAATGTTTGAATAAGAACCATAATGAGGTTGTGCACAATGTCACAGTCTGTCGCGGTCGATTGACAATTTATTATTTGATTCACTCGAAAATAATTTATTCGAGTACAAGGAACAACTCGATAAAGTCGTGTAATAATATGGTTATTTAAACCATAGTGGTGTACAGGCGGTTGTATAATATAAACGAGAAATAATATATCGAATGCCCTATCTGTGTGTATATAGCTATTCATTTTCCTTTAATTATTTTGTATTAATTCTACGTTAATTTCGTCTACCCGGACAAGATATTTTAACAAGAATATTACAGTCATTATACAAGTGTCGTATTATATTTGTCTTAAATACCTATATGCTTGTAGGCTTAAATAAAATATATTTAATGATGTTGTACATTATAGCAATGTTCGATATGGAATTATAATAATTGTGGTATAGTGATGATAACATTAAATGTATAAAATTATCAATTAAATGTGCACAATGGAAATCATTATATTATATCATATTATTATTATAATATTATATAGCTTAGTAAAAATTGGTAATATCATTCATAAATTGTGTCAAAAACCGTAATTGAGTGTATTTATTTGTGTTATTCTTTATATAATATATAAATTAAAACCCGCAGGATAGATGATTTTTTGCATAATTGTTGAGTTTTCTTAAGCCATTAACTCTACTATTATTAACTCTACCATTAGAGTATACTCTACCGATATTTAATCGGTTTAGTACCGGCCTACCTATTTTCGTATCGATTCGCTCATCTCGCTACAGGACATCGTTAAATCATCATAATTATTTAAAAATTGTTCAAATTATTATTATAATTATTTATTTTTTCATTTAAAAACAATGATTTATACTGTCGCGTTTGAAAGGTTATAATGAACGGAGCTCATTTCACTAATGCATTTGACGTTTTTTTTCTTTTTCAAATGTTTATTAAGTATAAAACGGTCGAGTGTCGAGCACTCGTCGTCATTCACGAAACTTCATTATGCGTTCGTATCTACTCAGCTTACAACTTTTGATATTTACTTAACTTCCGCACAAAGTGACACAGTCTCAGTCAAAGGCAGGCGCACGGCAAAATGGTACATGCGATGCGTAGTATATAGAGTATATAGGGGCCACGTGAAGATTTCCCAAGTGCGATCTCCGGTTGGGTTTTGATTAATCGAGCCGCCAGCAATTCGTTTAGTTGACAAAAGATTTTCTAATACCCGGAAACTCAGCGTTTAACATTTACAATGGCATAAACTCGTATTGAAAAAAATTCGACAAAAATCGGCTTACTTAAAGAGCAGTATAAAAACGTTTACAATAAATTATGCATAATATTATAGGACGTTATTCGCTGTCAACAATAATATTATTATTATTACACCTCTTAACTGCGTTTAGTCGTTTTAATGATGTTACAAAAGTGTACAAGAGACCAAAATTCACACTCTTTTTTTTATTTTCTCTAGATTTTTAATTTTATCAATATATTAATATTTCCTGATTTTCCGTGTTTTCAGCATCTCTGAAAGGTTAACATTTTTTCGAAATTTTCTGGAATTTCGATCTCTGTGTTTGTTAACGTACTATTAATATATTATATTATGTATAGTAGTTAAACTTTAAACTATTTTCTTAATGGCGTACATTTTACGATAAAAACATTATTATTGTAGTGTTCAAAATATGTAACAAGTTGTTAATCAAGTTAACTTTACTACTATCTACAACAAGATTATACGTTCGAAACAGACATCACGTTTGCTCCGAATTTCTATGAAATCAGAACCGCTATCTAAAATTGTATTGGTTTGCACTTTATATTATTTAATAATGGAAATTCCCTCTAAAGATTTTCTAATAAAAATCACGTAACTCGAGAAGTCCTTCTTGATCATATTATAGCCACAAGGTAGCTCGTATTTTTTAAAATAAAATTATGTGCGTTCGCTGAACATGTTTTTTACAATAAGAAAAATAATATAGTAATTTTATTTTATTTATATCTTTCAATAGTAGTATTGTATACTGTAGGTACTACCAAGCTACTTTTTGGTAGGTAGGCCGTAGGCGGGTAAGTAGGTAATTACTAAATTATTTTAATGCCAATAATTTATATAAAACATTATGTGAACACATGAATTCAACTAGCAACAGTTGGATGTAGCCATGCAGGTATATCTATATTATTTTCAATTTTTATAATTTGAAAATTTGAAATATTTGAAATTATAATATATGGATCTTAAAACAACCATCATATTTTCTCTATAAATGTGTAATGTCTATATGTCGTTCTTTTGAATAATTACAGTTTTATCTTTAATTCAATATTTCATTTTATTAAATATTAAGTGTATAAATAATTTCAGATTTACATTGCCTGTATGTTTTTAAAACCATGAGAAAAATGTCCATAAACCTAAAATATGTTTCTAAGTATTGTAAGTATTTAAGTATTATTATTTTGTATTAAGTCATATTATTGATTGACTGTCGAAATTCACATAATATATGAAGCATTTCAGATTTTGATACGGTTTGATTGGATTTTTGATTTTAAAGGAACCTTATTTACAAGTCGACTTTTTTATTTCACTGTACTTAAATAAGTACTTATATTGAATGATATCGTAAAAAATACTTTAACCCATTATTCACATTTTTTCGAATACGTGTATACGATGTATAACTATACGCCTATGTCCAATGTCACTCTCGGTGCATGAACTAATATACGCTATAGAGATCTCAAAAAAACACAAACTAAAATATGGATTTGAAATATCACCAGTGCCCCTTGAAAAATATTATCACGTTAGTTCTGATTTATATTACCTACCGAAGTAGTGCCCATAACGAAATAATAAATGGCATTCAGTTTAAATAAACGACCGTAATTATTTTCCTGTACCTAATGCTAAACACATAAATTTAAACTATTTGCGCGAGCTATTTATATGTGTTTTGTTGTACGGGCATGGATTTGCCTGTTCTTTAGTCTTCAGATGTACAAATATGTATTGGTAAATACGTCAAACCTTTGTCAGAAGACAGAGAACCGTTTAATGTTTCTGAAACATAATGTTTGACCGTATTATCCCTGGTCTGTGATTTCTTGTTCGACCATAAAATATGCAGGCTTAATATAGTGAAATTAACATATTATTCAACATCCAATAACTTAGATTCGTATGAAGTTATTGAACATTTGAAAACTAAAAGTAAATTTCATTACAGGGAACTTATAGCTATTAAAAAGTGAAATCTTTAAAAAAAAAAATTCTGAAATAATCATAATAATTCATTTGTTTAACGTTGTGCTTTGCTTTGCTATAATATTTTGCAACTATGAAATTATAAGTTTTAAATTAATTTTTGACTTATAACTTTGTTCTGCATTTGTTATTTTATTATTTAAGGCCAAATATGTAAAATAATAATGGTTGGTACATAAATACCTGCAATGAATGTTTTTTCTTACAAAAAAAAAAAAAAAAAGTTAGGTATTGTGAACTGGTTAGATTTATATTTACAATAATATATCACCATTCCACCACTAGGCCTAAGCTCTCTTTGAACAATTTATGCTTTAATTTTTATTTTCAATTGTTCGATAATTTCATCAGAATCTAGATTATTAGATATTTTTT